ATATATATATATATATATATATATATATATATATATATATATATATATACAAACCTATTCTCAGCCTTTAAAATGAATATTTCACAAAGCTGATCTTCAACTACAGTATTTGTTTTACTGTAAACCAACCTAAAGTTGATAAATCCAAGAAACGAATGGTTTAAACAGCGAAACAAATGTGAAATATTACATTTATATTAGTTTGTCACAGCCATATCCTGACATTACATTATTTAGTTAGTCCTGTTTCATCAGCATGTCGTTCTCACGGTAAAAAAAAAAAAAATAGTGACCACTAAAAGTAGTCTTCACATGAGAATATATGTTACAAGAAAAAATAAAAGCATACTTTTTTTTAGTAAAGTCAAGTGTCCTTGTGTCTGTGGTGAGCCTTTGAGCGAATCGACTTCCTGCAGTTATTTTATACAACTGGTGCATTTGTTTCCTTGAACCAAACCACTGTCGTTCATGTTCAATTCTTTAGATGCTGTATAGAAGTTTGAAAATGTGTTGAACCCATGAAGACACCTCTGTACTCAATTCATGTTTGTGTTGTTAATAATCTGAGTGCAATAAACATTTATGAACCCAAATATTTAAACGTGTGTAGCAGTGATTCTTTACACTATTACACTTAAGCCATTACACTATTCCGCTATTAGTTACTTTAAAGAAAACGTATATATATGCACACACAACAACAACAAAAAAAACTTTTTGTGAAAATGATAACTGTTTCATATGTTGAAGGTATTGGTAAATACAAAAATGGTTGTGTTCATTATGCATTGGAGACGGTGGCAGACAATCCTAAAAGCAAGAAACGGCAATAAAAAAAAATCCCACAAGTTCAAATTTACAAGGATTAAAACTAAGGGTAATTGATGCATTATACTATAAATGTTACTTTAATATATCTAGAAGGCCTACAGCCATTTCACTGCCCAGAAATTGAAATGTTGAAGGCACTTTCCTACAGACTAAAAGTTTCAGAGCTGGACAACTATCACACCATCCAAATCATGTCAGTATGGCTATTTCAATGCTTCAGATTAATGAGTCAAGTGTAAAATCTATAAGTGTTTACAGGGTCTGTGTTAGGATGGAAATAAGACGTCCATTTTTGTAGTTCTAACACCCCAAATTGTGACTGTAACTACAGGTAAAATGACTATCAAGGGAGGGCAACAGCAAACAATTGGGGAAGCTCTTGCTGTTCTATTAAGTAGAGAGGATTTTTTTAAAAACCCACTAACGAATCAAACTACAAACAACATTTTTGTATTTCTTGGTTTAGACCTAAACGGGAAAACTCATCTAAAACACACACACAAGTCTGCTTCAATGAAACTACAGTACATTTGATTTAAAAGAGAAAGTATTAAAAGTGTTAAAACAACTAGGATGTTAAATAAACGCATCAAGATACATTTAGCATGAATAGTTAAATGGCGCAGCACAGTGGCACAACTGGTAGAGCTGCTGCCTCAGCGAGCGCAGGCCGATGACTCAAATCCTGGTCCGGGGGTCCCTCTGGGTGGAGTTTGCATGTTCTCTCCGTGCATGCGTGTGTTTTCTCCGGGTACTCCGGTTTCCTCCCACAGACCAAAAACATGCATGCTAAGCTGATTGATATCTCGATTGTCCCTAGGTGTGAGTGAGAGTGAATGGTTGTTTGTCTCTGTGATGGACTTGCGACCTGTCCAGGGTGTCCCCCACCTATCACACAGTGATGGCTGGCCATGGGCACCAGTGAGCCCCGCGACTCGAAAAGGAAGAAGCGGATAAAGACGATGGATAAACGGCGCAGGGGTCAGGGTTCAAACTGAGCTCAGCAGTCACACGGATGAAGAAGTTCTCCCAGAATATACTTAGACCATGAACTGTTTGTGTGCAGTACAGGTTGAAAGCTCTGATTCAAACATTTTTCAGTTTATTTTATTAATGTGAATGTAACTGTCTCCTGTCAGTGGCATGCGTAGCTCCACACTGATGGGCTGCATGAAAATGAATCCTGCTTTATGTTTTTATTTGACAGTACAACACAAACATGTTCAAGTGTTTAATTACCACTAATCAAATCCATTTTCAGCTCTCAGTTGAACAGAGATTCAACATTTTGTCTTGACTTGATACAAAGCCAAAAATCTGCATGCAGGTTATGTTTAGACTCAACACTGAGGAAGTTGCATCTGCTGCTCAGTGGGTGATATACCACAAAATAAATAAAATTAAATACAATTGCACATGTGCAATTTTGACCTTTCTCATAGTATTTTAGCAGACTCACCTTTCTGGTACTGCAGCCAGAGCTGCTGCTGGGTCTTCTTGCTGGGGAAGTAAATGCTGCAGCTGAGCTCGGAGCCGTACAGACCCTCAGACACATAATGGCTGCCATATTCCTGGAGAAAAGCCAAGAGCTCCTCACGTGTGCTCTCCCCTGACAGCGTTTTCAGCACCTTAGAAAAGTCTATCAAGTCAACAACGGGATGGAAAACAAACAAACACAGCTGAATGTATATCTGGGAGGAAGAGGACACATATTGAACAGGCTCCTTATTTAAATAAGATCCATGGACATTTATAGTCAAATACAAACATCCTGCTTGTTTTAGGTCTTAATCGATGCAGATCTAAATGCTCAAGCCCAAATCAGATTTATACCTGTGGATAAGGTGATGGAGCTGAGTTTAACTTTGTATAGATTGCTGCGGACTCTCCACTGTTGGACCATGGGATAGCCGACCGCCTCACTGAACTGGGCATCGCCTAAGAGCAGCAGAAACACAGTAAAACAAGGCAAGGTAAAAGCAACAGGTACAAATATCAGACAGTAAGTACATCCACTTCAAACAGCTTACAAGGTCAGAGTCACGCAGAAGCAGAAATTCATAATAAATAAGAAAAGTAAATAAAATGCATCATTTCATTTTCATCATTACAGTTTATTGCTCAGCCATTATTGCCTTAGCGTCGTTTATCATCGCTGCCCGTACACCAGCTGCTCCCAGATCAATGGTGATATATAGCGCTGCTTGAACTCCAATTGGATTGCTGACATTAGAAGTGCAAGCAATCTCGGCTCTCCGTGCAATTCAATTACCAAACTTTGACATCGGTTTAGAACTAGAGCCGCAAAGAGTGAAGAGCAAGTGGGAAATAAATAAATATTTTGCTTACGGGAACCTTGATCTTATTCACCTGAGACATTCATGCTACGCAAAAAAACAAAAAAAAGCTGGGGGGAGTGTGTGCTTGGAAGCAGATGCCCAGTAAAAAGAAATCTCAGGGGTCATTGTGGACCAAAAAGCAATTTAGCTAATGGAGAGAAAAGAGGGTGGAAGTGAAGATTTTGAGACGTTGGGTTTGTGCTGAACAAAATAGGATGGAACAGGTAAAAGTACACGTATAACTGGGTAAAATGGTCAGGTATTAGAGAAATTAGAGTGGGCCTGCAACTGTTTGGACACGCCTGAGATTGCTGCTGTGGTTTTCTATTTAACTCCTTCCTTAAACTGTGTCTTTCCATTTAGAAAAACTAAAAGAGCAATAAACATTTATATATCCTTGTCCCTTCCTCGCAAATCTAACAAAAAGTGCTTTCAGAGACTTTTCTTGATCTTTCAGATTTCATTTTTTGCGCTTTTTTCCTGCCTGAAAAAGTCTTTATTTGACATGATCCTGAGGTAATTTATTAATTGTCTCCTTTGAATTGTTTGGAATATCAAAATTTGATTAATTTTAACTCATTTATATATAAAAAAAAACACATCACAAGATGACAAATGATGGGATGGGACTTTGAAACAAAAGGCTGCACAAGCTAATTTATTACACTACAGTGACAGTCATCTAAAAAATATAAATACAATGAAATTATAAAATATACTTGACGTGTCATATTGATAAAGTCCCACATTTAATGAGTGTCACACTGCAACTGAATAACGGAAATCCATTAGTTACATTACCAATAAAGAAAAACTGACCATCTTTTAAAAGAAGAAAACACATAAAAACATAAGATTTGGGATATGAAATAAGAAAAAGATATGAAATATATGAAAGCATTTCAAATGGATCCTCAAATACCTGATAGAAGCTGCAGGTTGGGTAACGGCTCTGACAGGATCCCTCGACACTGTTCCTCCACTGGTAAAGGGATGACCATGAGGCCATCAGCTAGCTGGGGAAAGTCCTTAATGAAGTTGTTATCCCTAAGGTAGAAAAAATATATAAAATATAAACATATCTAGATATGAATGTTGCATTTGACAGTCAGTAGAGCAGCCTCGTGTTCTGAACTCCATGGAAACAACATCAGTTGACATTTGCAGTCTGGGCATGCTCCAGTCTTCTGGTCTCCAGCATCACTGAATAACTGGGATTTAGAGATTGCTTTTTGAAAATGATGCAATGTTTTTAATTATCTTCTCATAACCAGAATTAATAAAGAAATGTGCCAGGTGTAAAACATTCAAAATGCACGTTAGTTTCCTGTTCAAGTTCTTGTTATGCGTTTCATTTATAAATGACATCCAGATGAATTCTGAGAGCAGGCGAGGAGTTGCAACCCATTTCCTCTAATCCACTTTCGTAGGGCCAGGTCTCAGTTTGGTCCTTGTGCTGAAGAAAGTCAAGAGGGTGGGATGGGGGTAGTTTCAACTATTCATGACATCAATTTTTTATCCTGTTTTCATAAAGCCTGCTAGAAAAAAAAAATCACAGCCCTTCGGTTAGAACCAAGGCTGCAAGGGCAGAGGATGAGAGGAACAAGCGAGAGGAAAGGTGCTGTAAACAGATTACCGTGGCTTATGCTCACAGAAAACATATTGATTACTAAACTGAATCAGCCAGCTGCAGGTTGTGGCTCAAAGAACCTTTAGAGGCGCATGGACCAAGATGATTTGTAGCTTTATGGATTTTTAAGCCTCCATGTGGCCTGTCCTTGACACTCTTAGAGGAGTTCCTCGTCTTTAACCCATTTGCCTCACCCATTCAAATGACAAGGTTAAAATATACAGAATCTAGGAGTGTAATATTTCTCAACAGTTTCCTTGGGAGTCGACGGTGAACTAAACTAAACTCAATTTTGACAATGAAGTATATGTAAACTACATTCTTCTTCTTTCGGATGCTCCCTTTGTCAGGGGTGGCTACAGCTAACTAACACATGAAGACTTGGCGGTTGTTTTTTATGCCGAATGCCCTTCCTGACCTAACCACAGACCACCGAGCTACCACAGCCCTCTGTGTGGAGCAGAGAGATGCAATCTAGGGTGCCCAGGGGAGCAGATGGTGGGGTTTAATGGCCTTGCTCAAGGGCCCAGAGCAAAGCAAAGCAAGTGATTTTTCTTAAAGACAACAAGACGTGGATACCTGGCAGATACAGCCTCAAAGTATTTATAAAGGTAACATGGGATGTGGAAGATTGCAAAAACCCTTCCTGAAAGACAATATTTGGACTTTTGTCAATATTCAATTCAATTCAAAAATACTTTATTAATCCCAGAGGGATATAGCTCATCATCCTGTTTTCATTCAAGAGTTGTTATAGATGCTGATAGCTGTGGGCAGGAAGGCTCTCCTGCAGTGAAGCCGAAGAATCTGGCCACAGATATCAATCTGTCCACCCGGAACCAACTTGCTGTCCGATCCGGTGGGACTCTCAGTCCTCCTGGGCAGCAGAACTGCTCGAATACGGGCAGAAATGATCCCAGTCCCGTTGGCACGAGCTGAGTTTCTCATCAGCTTCAGAATCTCAGCGGTCAGGTACTCGAGCACCGCTGCCAGGTTGACGGGAATTCATCCACAACGCCTCCTTTTCCACTCATTTGGGATTTGGCGCTGCAGTGAGGTATTTGAGCTTTTGATATGTTAATCAGCTGCTCCTGGTTGTTTAAAAAAAAGGAAAGAAACACCTTGTTGCCTTGGTTACGCATCATAACAAACGTCCAAAGTAAAAAGGTTTCATCAACATTCTTCCAGCTGCACAGTATTCAATACCAGAGGGGAAAAACAAACAAACAAACAAAAAAAAAAAAATCAGAAAAAAAGAGGAATTAAAGTTTTCAAAAGCAATAACTCAGAATGAAAGTAACAGAGCTGCTCCAACATGCAACCACCTCGAGCGACGCAATTCTAGAACTCAGAATGCAAAACAATGAAAAGACTAGGTTATCTGAGATGCATTTTTTTATTAGGGGTGTTCTTTATCCTTTTAGAAAGTATATAGATCTTTGCAAAGGTTTTGCGTGCAAACCATAAATTCTGTCTGGTCTGGACTGTTTCTTGTTTAAGGAATAAACTTTTCTGCATCACTCAAATGAATAAAATGGACATTTGCTGCTTTCAGTGTTACTGATATGTTGTGGTTTACATGGAACAGAACACCTTGAAGGGCGGCAAAAGTCTTATTTTCTAATGAGACCACAATGGAGCACAGCTTGTAGTTAATGTGTTTACAACTTCTTTATTAATTAAATATTTAAGCACATTTCCTGTTATCCTATGACAACATCTGCTGTCAGGATTACAAATTAATATAGATAGACCTGTTTTAATATCAGTCATACACAGAAGCACAGAAATAATGAATCACATCAACAGTAGTCTCATTAAGGTTTGTAGTGAGCTGTGATAAATCACTGTGCACAATTCTGGGTCCAAACAACCACTCCTGACATTAAGGAAACATGGCTTTAAATAATTAATATAATTAATTACATCTGAGTTTTTCCTGCGGTCACATAAAATATGTCCAAACTTATAAAGTTGAAAAGTTTGACAGAGTGCATTTTGTTACGTGCTACTGTACATCTCGCAAACAAATTGCTTTCTCACAGGTGTGTGGCGCTAAAAGACCCCAATTCCATACATATAAAAGTACGTTTATCCCCAAGTAAACAAACTTGGCTGACAAATAAATTAATAATCATCTCATTTTTTATGTATATGCATATAACAAGTAATGTTTATTTGCAGATAGACCAATTAAATGACCAACGATTGCGCAGACTTTTCAAAAATCTTACTGAAAATGGAGCTTAATCAAAACACTTCAGACATCTGGGAACAAACATGGCTGCAGTATTTTGAACTACGTTTATGTGCTTTAAATTAAAACCTTTTTTGCTGGTTCTAACTGCACTCCTCCAAGTTGGCCAAATCATTAATTTCACACAGTAGCATACTTCAAAGGCAGGCTTAGCAATCGTAACCGCCCTCCATACATCAGAACGCACGTTTGTGGATTTGCTGAGAAACGGATGGAACAAAAAGGAAAATGAAAACTTGTGTATTTATGATTCATTCAGCACCCATGTGTGTTCATTAAGAGCAGTGAAGCAGCTTCCTCCTGGCACCACAGGCCTCCCATATTTGATTTTAACACTAGAAAACCACATTTAAATGAAAGTTAACAAAATACAAACTCTTTTCAACAAATACGTTCATATTACAAAATATAAAAATAAATAAATAAATGCTTGATTTCTGCTGGTACCTTGGGCGGCCTCTCTCCTTCATTTGGTGGATAGATTAAAAAATGTGTTTATAGAAAGACTACTGTGGTCATCTAAGGACAAATGGGTACAACAAATTTTTGCATCTTTTTGTGTCACAGTGAATCTCATTTGATTCAAAGCTGTGGCCAATTGTGTATTTTTTAGTGTATAAGTGTGAGTATCTTAACAGCTGCTATCAGGTACTTGTCTCATCAATTGTTGTAGATGATACTTAAAATGAGTGAATATGTCATTCTCACGTCACAAAACTGTTCATTCTCTTCAAACCAACTCAGTACAGCTTTAATTTATTGACATTCCAGAACATTTAATAACTTGGACTTGACAGTAATTGTTGGCTCATATCACAGATATTACTTGAGTCAAACTGACTGAACTTAGCATCAAGGCTGTTTCTTATCAGTATTTATCACCTGCTGCAATAAAAAAAAAAGATGCTTAAAGAGAGTAGGCAGAGTGTAAGTTATTTTAAATGCATGCAAATGCAATAAATACATAAATAAATAAATAAATAAATGCATTTTGTTTTCAGAAGTTCCCTCAGTGTGCAGGTGTAGACACAAACAGGCATATCTTCAGACGGTTGAGTATAAATCTTGGTGCCAAGGTTACAAAAGCTCTGAGTATCCGTTTGGTCAAAGTTGCTAACTGAGCATGTGTAATGCTTTTTAGGTAGCATGAACCTACAAACACAAAGATGACTCAATCAGCCTAATTAAAACACATTTACAGGGAATTTTGAATGCAAAATTTAATGGCTCATAATATAATACATTTTGATTATTACAACACATATGGCATATAATTAAATTTGTATGCGAAACAGTCTCTAAAGCAATATCTCAGAATCTTAGGTGGTAAGCAAAAATGCCAAGACACACTAAAAACTCTTATTTTGACAATTAATTCTCACATAAAAACATGTTTTAAATCAGTTAATATGGCTTAAGTAATATTCACTGATCAAACCCTGATTGCAGCAGAAATTAATAACTTCTTATAAATACGTTGAGGTTGTGAAGTTTGAACTGTGGTGCATCATTCAATAAATATTTAGCTTTTTAAATATTTGATTTGATAATGGTTAAACACAGTCAACAACCTGACCACTAGAGGGCGCTCTGCCTCTGTGTCAAAGGAAATGCCTTCAACCTTAGCGTTTGGGCTTTTGTTGCTGCACTTAATCATTAAACTCCTTGGGATTTTCCTTTGACATGTGGGAACAAAAGACAATAAATAAATAAATAAATAAATAAATAAACCAAAGGGGTAGGGGATGCCAACCCCCTGTAGCAATTAGGTGAAAGTCAATAAACAGTTGCTCACATTATGATAAAATTAGACAATTACAGCACCAACAAAAGCACAAGTGTTCTGGCGTTTCGCTGTGCTTGCTGGACAAAAACACAAGATCTTAGGGAGTTATGTGAACTCAGAGGTGATTTGAAGGCACTATTCAGAAACCCTCAACAGTAAGTAAAGTGTGGGCCGAAGTACAATCTACTGGGAAAACCGAAGAAGAAAAAAAATCCACCCAGAGGTGAGACAGGACTGAGCAGCGGTCAGCTCAGAGAGAAAGAGGCTGAGTGCAACACCGTCAGCATCTCTCACACAGAGTAATCCCTGGATTGTATACTCTGAGTAGCACTGTAGGATAACAACAAACAGCAGTGCTCTGACCTGTGTGTGAG